GAGGACGGATGAAAATCGTTGTACTGCAGCCGTTTAGCTTTTATATTATATTCATCTGGTGAGATCGACAAACGAATCTCTTCATCATGTACTTTCATTCGAAATGAAGGTGCCCCTAACAATCAGTTTATTTAGTCGTGTATGGAGGCAAACATCAGAATCGTAATCGTTAGGGATGGTTATTTGCTCTGACGATGTCCAACACATGACGGACGAAAGCTCAGCACAGATTCATTGAGATGGCAGGAAAACGGGCCAAGGATTTTTCAGCACAATCCAATAACCATAAGTCCGATGCGGCCAATATCAATCTATCAAGAGAGCCTTCGAGACCCAGACCTTGTTGATTAACTTTTGAGAAAGGTTCCCCTGAAGTGCCTTTTCCAAATTCTCTCCATATTAATGGCAGGTGGTTCAATATGACGTTCAAGACGAGGTTCGGGAAGAATTCAATTCAATTATGGCAGGACTATGTCCAGCGGAGTTCTATCATGTTACTTTTGAGGGGATTTATTTGAGTGATGCAGGCAATTGGGTAGGTTGTGTTTCGTTGATACGTAGGTTTAAGAGACTACCAGCATCTCATTTAACTAGTAAGTGTATTCACCCTAGTTCGTTTAAGATAATGAACTACTAATAGTTGAATTATTCCCACAATCATATGACTAGTCCTTGCATTTCCATTGAATTTCACATAGCCTTGCTTTCTCAAAAGCGTTTTTTATCCAAGGTGGATTGTAGTTTTGACCTCGTCCAGGTCTTACCAACACCGAAGCGGGACTCTAACCAATCGACCATCAGTCCTCTTATCATTGTAAATGAAATAGGGTGAATACACGTCATATATAACTTATTCATTTTACGGTCAATTAGCAATTCCACGACCCGAGACGAACATTTCTCAAGGTGCCGGGTGTGCTGGGTATGCCATAAATTGTGTGGTTGTCAGATAAAAGTTTGTCTTAAGCGACTTCATTTCTGACAGAAAGTCTACATTTTTCGTATATATTTTGTAGAATTTTGAGATACCAGTAAATCAGTTATGTGAGATGTATTCACTTTATTTCGCTTAAGGGGATTAAGGACGGTTTTAAACTAAATAGGGTGAATACATCTCATATTGTTTTTAAAAAGGTCCTCAGAATTCCCATTATCGAGTCAGATGACCTCTATCCAGGAAAACGGACGATGTTGTTTCGCATGCTCCACCAGATAGACCCTGACTTTGTAGTAAGTAGGTCAGGATTAACCCTTTGCACTCGTCAAAAGAATCCTCCCAGAGTTGGGCAATTCTTAGTGCCTTCTATGTTGTTATACTGTCTACTGGATTATATGGTATTATTGTTGTGATGCATTTTATTTGGTGTAATTGTGTGTATGCTGAAGTGAGTAGTAGGCCGATCTCATCAGAAGACGAATGTTGAGCCTCGATGCTCTGCAGTCGTTTGATTTTACTGCCGACCTTCGGTTATAGTGAAAACGTTGACGAGGTCAACCTGAAGGTCATAGTAAAATCGAATGGCGATAAGATTAGGTAAGATCTACCAACGAATCTATACTTTATAAATATTGTATTTTCGATCACTTTATGGTCTATTCTGTCTTGCGTTGATTTGTTCTCCCTTATTTGAACTCCAACTCCATCTTCCTCCATCTGCTTCATTCCACACTCCTCTCTTCTTCCCAACTTGCGTCATTTCAACCGGTTTCTCCAAACGCCCAGTGGCGCTCTTCCACCCTCTCTGTCGCCCCAGTTGACCGGCGGTGTTCTCTGGCAGTCTGCGGCACCTGCATCCAGTCTGGTGCGTCGGCGCGAGCCCCGCTGGGCGGCCCAGCGGCCAGTTTCCGTTGCGAGTGGTGCTCGCAAAATAGCATCCTTGCAGTTCGCTGATCGAATTGATGCCGAGGTTGTCGGCGAGCCGCGTGCCTGTGTCATGGTGACTCGACGACAGGTTTGGAGGAACAGAGCTTGCTCGAGCAAACGTCGCCTGGCACCGTTTGTTTGCATGAGAAATCCGGAGGTGGCGTAGGCTGAGTTTAGCAGATGCCTTGACAACTGACCCCAATTCATTATCCTTCCACGTTTAACTACAGCCCACTTAACCTTCATGTCCTATCTTCTTCGTATCTTTGTATTTCTGATTTTACATTCTCATCTTCACCCATTAATCTTCCCTTTCACAGCCTCTTTTCAGTGTATTCAGATTAGACAAAAGCAGAATTTGAATGACGCAGATCTGGCCGTTATTCTTTGTCATCATCAATCACCTCAACTCTGGTAAGCCGGTGGTGGACTATGAGACTCAGGTTTTTGTGACCAATTTTTGCCAGGACCATTTGTACTCTTAGGCTGGGATGTATTTACAAATTCTTGGCTTCCATTCAGTCATCAGCTGATGAGGTGATCATCAATTGCCTGTAGAAATTGGAATTAAGGCCGCCGTCTTTTGAAGTTCACTTCTGAGCCTCCCAATCCTCGCTTAATTTTCACATTTGGAGTACACTTTTCCGTTTCAAGCAGACCTACTGATGTTGCCAGCTCACGCAAAACGTAAAAATAAACCATCAAATAGGCCTAATAGCGGATCCTGCCTTTTTTACTTTAGGAGACGAGCTCCAAAAATTAGATTTCGCCAACATGATCCACTCAAAACGGCATCTTGTGGAGATCTAGAGTAAGAAGTTTAAGGATGAAGCTTTCACACGCCCCTACGGGATTGCATGACATACCTGTGTGTATTAGAGTGAAACCAAAAAGTGGTGAATGGTCTTTGTTTCACATAAACCGAATTGCGGCTACGGAGTTAGGTTAACCAATGTCTTATAGGAAACAATCTGATCAATACTAGTGCCAGACTCTTAAATAACTATGCAGAGAGAACAAAGCATCATCTTGGGTTCCTCTTGATTAGTGATTTTTGCTCAAATTACCAATCGACTTCAAACCATTTTGCAATTATAAATGTTCGAACTGTTTCCTTCATTAGATTG